ACAAGAACTCGACATAATCCAAGAAGGAATTAACAGGTAAGGCTCATGTTAATAACCATTTCTGTAGCATGGTTGGTAAATTCAGGTACTAACAATCATGTGCTGTACATCAATAAGGCCTCATTGTGTAAAGCAGACTTCCAACTAATTTCTACGTTGTGTTATTTGTCTATTTTTAATTAAACACAGTCTGCAAAAAAAAATTTGGCAAAAAGTAACTGAAGTTCAAGGCAGTATTAGAAAACTTTGATATATTTTCTATAACTAGCACAGTTGATAGTTTGCAATAGACATTAGCACTCCTTAGGATAGAATTCACCACCACTTTTTGTGCCTCCACCTGCTGTATTCCCTACTGTTTGTGATGCATTAAAACCTCAACTTAACAAACCATGATGTAATGGATTTCAGATTTAATGTTATACATAATCTGTGTTTGGACAACATTCGGAGGCAGCAGACAAAGTCTGTTCAATCCAGAATTGTTCATTAATCTCGTAGTACACTTGGTAAATTCATTTTGGAATTAAGAGACTTTGTTCATTAACCCTTTCAGGATCCAGACCCCCGGTCAGAAACTTGTCCACAGGGTCCAAGAATTTTCAAAAAAAATTTTTATTTTTTTTCATGAAATGGTAGAGAATCTTTTTCTGAAAGTAATAAAACAAAAAGTGCGAAATTTGATGGAAAATTGATGAAATTACACTCGCAAATTTTGCTGCATCAGCAGTGTTTACGCATTGGTGATTTTGCCCACATTGACTCCCATTTTTGACCAATTACATTACTCCAGTCGACCAAATTCTTAGCCATTTCGCTAGTATTACAGCGGACCCTTGGTTTTCATGATTAATTCGTTCCAGAAAGTCTGGCAAAAACCAAATTGTACGAAAACTGAAGCAATATTTCCCATAAGAAATAATGTAAATCCAAAAATATTAACAAAAAAATACATTTTATAGAGAATAACTATAGTTTTACATACAGAAAACAATGAAAAATAAATACAAATGACTAATGAAATGGATAAATGAACATTTAACATTACTTTTACCTTTATTGACGACTCTTGTTGGCATATGGAAGATGGTGAGAAGGGGAAAGGGGGGAGGAGGAGAGGTTATTGTTTGGAAAGGGAATCCCCATTCATAAGGACTTCAGGTATCAAGGCCCTATCTGGGGTTACTTCCCTTCTTTGCCTTTTACTGGCACTAGGACCGCTTGAGTCACTGGACCCCAGAGAGGTCAGTTTCTGGCGTCTCTTTTAAGATTTGCCTAAAATGGGACAAGGCATTGTCATTGAACATATTGCAGACACGGCTTCCAACAGCTTCGTACGTTGCTATGAGTTCTTTCTTTAATTCTATCGTGTTTCTCACCTTCTTTATCAAAGGGCTGGCACCCGGAACTTTCTTTGGCCTCATGGTGGCTTATTTAGCAGTTGCACTCAATAAACAAGCACAAAAAACAATGGATTACATTGGACCTTCAGGTAACGATTTTAATCCGTTCCAGAGAGCTTGTCCTTAACCGATTTTATCGTTAGCCGAATTAATTTTCCCCTTAAGAAATAATGGAAATCCAATTAATCCGTTCCAGACACCCAAAAGTATTAAAAAAATTTTTTTGTGTCACATGAAATATACAATTTCCTACACAGAAAACAATGATACATGAAGAACAACTACTACATGCAGAATAAATACTACGTGAAGAATAAATGACACTTACCTTTATTGAAGACTTATTGATAAGTGATGAGATGGGAGGAGGGGAGATGATGGAGGTGTATTATTGTTTGGAAGGGGAATCCCCTTCCATAAGGACTTTAGGTACCGAGTCCTTTTCTGGGGTTACTTCCCTTCTTTTTTTAATGCCACTGGGAACTACTTGACAGTCACTTGACCTCTGTTGCACCAAAAATCTGTCCATAGAGCTCTGTATCTGGCATTCCTTTAAGATTTTCCTAAAATGGGTCACAACATTGTCATTGTAAAAGTCACCAGCATGGCTTGCAATAGCTGTGTCAGGGTGATGTTTTTCCATAAAGGCTTGCATCTTTGTCCACATTGTACAAATGTCCTTAATCGTTGAAGAAGGCAGCTTCTTCCATCTCTCTCTCCCCTCCTCTGAAGCAGTTTCCTCAGTTGTGGTCTCTTGCTGTTGCAGATGCTCTTGCAGCTCATCAGTGGTTCTTCATCATCATCCTCCACCAACTCTTCCACATCCTTCCCACTAACCTCCAACCCCATGGACTTCCCCAATGACATAATAGATTCCACAACTGGTATAGGCTTCTCAAGGTTAGCCCAAACCCTTCAAAATCCCTCTCTTGTATACATTGTGGCCACAATTTCCTCCAAGCAGAGTTCAAAGTCCTGCAAGTCACTCCCTCCCAAGCCTTACATATAAGGTTTATGCAACTGAGGATACTAAAGTGATCTTTCCAAAACACTTTTAGGGTCAATTCAGTGTCTGAGGTCACTTCAAAGCACTTTTGAAACACTGCTTTGGTGTACAGTTTTTTGAAATTTGAAATGACCTGCTGGTCCATGGGCTGGAGGAGAGGAATGGTATTAGGAGGCAAAAACTTCACTTTGATGAAGCTCAACTCCTCTGCAATTTGCTCTGGCAAGTCTGGAGGATGAGCAGGAGCATTGTCTAATACCAGGAGGCACTTGAGGTCCAATTTATTTTCCAGGAGGTATTTTTTCACAGTGGGGCCAAACACATGATAGAACTAATCATGGAAAATGCCCCTAGTGACCCATGCCTTACTGTTTGCCTTCCACATCACACACAAATTAGCCTTGATGACACTGTTTTTCTTGAACACACTGGGAGTTTCAGAGTGATACACGAGTAGAGGCTTCACTTTGCAATCCCCTCTAGCATTACTGCAAAACATTAGAGTTAGCCTGTCTTTCATAGGCTTGTGTCTTGGCAGTGCTTTTTCCTCCTGTGTAATGTAGGCCCTGTTTGGCATTTTCGTCACAATTAAACACTTGTTGGGGTTTTAATTTTTCACTGTATGCACTCCTTGAATTCCTGCACATATTTTTCAGCTACTTTTTGGTCACAACTGGCAGCCTCGCCATGCCTTATCACACTGTGTATGACACTACGATTCTTAAATCTCTCAAACCAACCTTTGCTGGCCTTAAATTCACTAACATCACCACTAGTTCCAGGCATTTTCTTTATTAAATCATCATGCGACTGCCTTGCCTTTTCACATATGATTGACTGTAAAACATTATCTCCTGATAATTGTTTGTCGTTGATCCACACCAGTAACAGTCTCTCCACATCTTTGAGTATTTGCGATCTCTGTTTTGTAAGCATACTTGCACCTTTTGCAACAACAGCTTCCTTGATTGCCTTTCTGTTGGCCAAGATAGCAGCAATGGTTGATTGTGGTTTGTTGTACAACCAAGCCAGCTCAGAGCCACGCACTCCACTTTCATACTTTGCGATTATCTCTTTCTTCAGTTCGATTGTACACCTCACCCTTTTTACCACAGGGTTGGCACTAGAAGCTTTCTTAGGGCCCATGGTGGCTTATTTAGCAGTTACAAGCACTATAAACAATGGAATAATACAAAATGTATTGAATGTATGCGTGGAACCATCCGCAGTGGCTTGTAAACAATGGCACACTAGCTGAAGGCAGGGCAGCTGAGGCGCATTCAGGCCAGATGGACGCGTTCGGGATGATTGTCCTTAACTGGGTTTTTCATTGTTGGCCGAGCCAATATTTTTACGCTAAAATGCATCGCTATCCGATTTTATCACAAGCCAATGTCATCGTTACCCGAGGGTCCAATGTATTACGAAATGTTTCGGATGAGCGTGCAGGGTAATGCTCACTCAACAAGAAACAAAGCCAGACTGAGTCAGAATGAGTGAGATGCTTTGTGTGGGCACGGGCAGGCAGACGCATTTGGTATGGCTGACCATTGTCTACTCTACGAAAACTGAGCGGATGTACAAAAATGGGACAAAATTTTGATGAAAAAAGTCGTCTAAAACCGAATCTTATGAAAAACAGGGCATACGAGAACCGAGGTTCTACCGTACTTCTGTTTTATCGATTGAGCACAAGAAATCACCCAATCAACTATTTTAGCTACCCAATAAAGTAATCGGAAATTGGTACAGTAGACCGTCATTTAGGTCAAGTTTATTTGGCACGATTTGGGTATAGCACGATTGAAGAATTGCGGCACAATTTTGTGTAACAAGTCGTAAGATGAGTTTAACATTGTTCAGTTTGCAGGAAGGAAAAAAACTTCCCATTTCCTCAAGTGGCCGCCTTATTGTGCATCAGCGGGGGAGACCTCCCGCCGTCCCCAGCCACCCCCGACACCACCCCACCATCCCAGCATTCGTACTTCATACGTGTCCAGTCCAACTTCTCTGCTACAAGCTTGTGATTGTGAATTGTGTTTTGATCTTTTAATTGCTATATCTTGTATCTGCCAAGCAATCATGACACCCAGTAGGCATACCAGTGTTGCTCAAAGTGGCAAGAAAAGGTGTAAGCGTTTAAGTCTTAGAATTAATGAACGAAACAATTTATTAGACAAGACATCCTGTGGCCAAAATGAAGTGATACTTTGTACACACAAAAAAGAGGTAAACATAAGTTTGTGTGACTGACTGACTGACTTATTGAATGACTTGACTGACTTATTGAATGACTTGACTGACTTACTGAATGACTTGACTGACTTATTGGACAACTTGACTGACTTACTGAACGACTTGACTGACATAATGAATTGACTGACTTACTGAATCACTTGACTGACTTACTAAATCACTTGACTGACTTACTGAATCACTTGATTGACTTACTGAATCACTTGACTAACTTACTGAATCACTTGAGACTTAATGACTTGACTGACTTACTGAATGACTTGACTGACTTACTGAATGACTTGATTGACTTATTGAATGACTTGATTGACTTACTGAACGACTTGATTGACTTACTGAACGACTTGATTGACTTACTGAACGACTTGATT